GTTGCGGGTGTTCCTTCGCAGCAAAACACACCCTGTCATGCTACATCCCTCTTCATGATAGATGCAATTTTTCTTCTCCAATTCCAAGCTATAGTATCAGCTTTCCATAACTGGCACATACAGTAGTGGCCAGAAATTTATCAACCAACGGTTTTTTGACAATTTCTCCCCGCAAAATCGCTGAATCGCTCCCAAACTTGGCACAGGTATGTCGAATAAAATTAGAAACTTGTTCTTACAAATAGACCAATAAAGCTTATCTTGAAGACTGCAGTACTCGCAAGAAACTGAAAATTCCCTCCTTCCGCTTCTTAGGCCTTCAGCTCACGGTATGAATTTTTGCCTTTTTCTTCAGGATTTTTCTATTTTACTGCTTTGTATGGCATTTAGAATATGGTTAGGACGTTGGGAGCACACACCATGTCAATTGATGTGCGCAATGCCATTCTACGAGGAATTGAACAAGGAATGAAACAAACCGAACTAGCAAGACTTTTTCACGTTCATAAATCAACTATTTGCCATTTTCTGAAGAGATTCTCCGCAGATGGAGTGATTGCACCAGCGCCGATTCCAGGACGAAGCCGGATGACCTCACGACTTACCGACAGAAACATCCTCCGATTAAGTCGTGGCAATCCCAGGCTCACTTCCACCGACATCCAAAGGGAACTGGCCGTTGCCAGTGAACAAATTCCGTCGACAAGAACTATTCGGAGACGTTTACAAGCTGCCGGGCTAAATGGAAGGCGTCCTGCGAAGAAGCCGTTGATTTCGGAGAAGAATCGTGGTGCTCGTGTCAGGTGGGCACAGGAGCATATCGGTTGGACTCGCCAGCAATGGAATAATGTTCTATTTTCTGACGAATCCAAGTTCAACCTGATGGGAAGTGACGGGATCAAGTATATCAGACGTCCACTCGGCAGAAGATTCGATCCTTTGTATCAGCTGCCCACTGTGAAGCATGGTGGAGGGAACGTGATGATTTGGGGATGCTTCAGTGGTCATGGAATCGGACCTCTTCGCCAAATTCATGGAGATTTGGATAGATATGGATATGAAGATATCTTAGAAACAACTATGCGTCCATTTGCACTCCAGTCCATCGGCAGGGGATTCATTTTCCAGCAAGATAACGACCCCAAGCACACTTCCGGCCACATTCGCGACTGGTTCAAGATGCGCCATGTGCAAGTTCTTGACTGGCCAAGTCAGTCTCCGGATTTAAATCCGATTGAACATTTATGGAACGAACTGGAGCGCCGCATAAAAGGCAAAACAGCAAGGAATTCGGCCGAAAAATTTGCTCAGCTTGAAGAAGCCTGGAAAAGTATCCCACAGTCTTTCCTCGACACTTTGTTAGATTCGATGCCACGAAGATGTCAGGCTGTCATTGATGCTAAGGGGTTTGCAACAAAGTACTAGTTCTGCTGATCTGTTATTGTTGAGTTACATTGGTTTTTGAAGGTTGTTATCACTGTTCTGTTTGAATAAACTGACCACATGGTTTTTTGCTCAGTGCGATAAAATCGAAAAATCGTTAATTTCTTCGGTCCTGAGTAAATTTTATTACCGATTTTTTTACAGATGATGAGAAAGCACGAAGGAAGTAATTGGTGCGAGTCGGGAAGAAACCAAGCGATTTTTCTGAAGAGAGAAATTCGTAAAAAACCGTTGGTTGATAAATTTCTGGCCACTACTGTATGTCACCTGTATTCCCACTAAAATCATGTTATTTTTGACCTGTTCTATCATCAGTGTCCCGGTCCATAATTTTTTGATAACTTTGACGTGTCTTCGATCAATTACTGTTTATTTCTGCTGGATGTACAGTGCGTACCAAAAGTATGTGGACACCCCTGGAATCGATTCTCATGGGTCAGCTAAAGGCTTTTATGTCATGAGACCTCCACCATTCAACTCCTAGTGGTCGATAAACTACAATGATATTCTCGGCAAAAGATTTCGTTCTAACTTTTAGCGAGTACGGATATTTCATAGAAATTTTTTCTTGTATATCAACAGATTATGGTGACACTCTTGAATAAAAACGGCGATATCTTAGTAATCTGAAAGATCAGTAGGCCTGGACCATAAGTTTCGGGTTAGCACAGAGTTTTGAGCCCAATTCTAGATCGGTATGCATTAATGAATGGCATGGTCTGGTATCACCTATTCGGGCCTTGCAGGATCTATTCCAACTAGAAAATTTCGACGCGATCATGTAAAGGACTTCTTGGGATATTACTCTTTTGTTCAATGACGATAGAGACCGCGAACCACGAATACCTCTACGTTTTCAATAAGGATGAAGTCTGAGGAATACACTAGCCGACTTGCCAATCAAAGCCGTTGCGTTTAGCATTTTTCCAATGGAATGGTGTCAGGGACCTCCCCTGCAAAACAAGTGATTTGCAACCATGACTTTTCGAAAAAGGTTGTAGCCGGGACTCAAGCACCTCATTATAATCCTAGTCGTCTACCTGACATGTTGGCAAGCCAAAACTTCGATGTCGCCCTCCCCTCGACCTCTTCTAATTTTGAGTGAACCACCCCAGCACCTTCGATGAGATTTCGGCCGAATTTGTCCGAATGGATACTCATTCCGGCCACAATCTGCGGGTCTCGAAAAAGAGTCTTATCTCCAAAAACCTCAAGACCCACCCGAATAGTGAGGAATAAGCTGCTCTCTTCCAGTCGAGTTGGTCTATGAGAGAAATTTCACAGAAAGTCTTTTATACTAATTTTACCATTTCCATGAAAGCGCTGTCTGTGTGGCTCAAAGTATGATGTAAGGAGGTAAAGGCATCCCCTTGTGATCAGCCTCTTTGAGTGGGAATTCAGCCTTGCAACTTGCATCCGCATCATATAACAAAGCCTTTCTTCAATCTTCTTTCGATGTCGTCAAGAAAACTAGCCACACAATGCGCGCACGCGCCTGCTATGCAAATATGTGCTCAATTGATTGAATGAGACACCGATTGGTCTTTTTTAAGATCGGGAAGATCATTTATGCGTAAAGTTGAGTAGTACGAAAAGAATAATTTGAGAAAATTAAGGCTATTCTTCTGCTGTTTTGAACAAGTAGCGATTGAGAACAACCAGTCAGTCGAGAGCTTAAGCATCAGGATTTCGGATTTCTCTCCAAACCTACGAGGACGATTAGTGCACGCCGTTGGGGCTTACTGTTCGCCAATAGTGGAAGCATTTCAGAAGCATGAGGATCCCATTTCTGTGCTCGGTCTTCTTCTTCAGAAAAACGCTTGCCGTGAAGAGGAATGATGCCAGAATAAGTAACGAAAGGAGAAGTAAAAATAGGTTAGGAAATCGATGCAAAAACTTCATCTGCCTCAGGGTGTCCACATAATTTTGATACAAAGAAAAAACTTTCCATGAAAAATAGTTCGCTAAGTTAGAACGAAATCTTTTGCCGAGAATGTCATTGTAGGTTATCGACCACTAGGAGTTGAATGGTGAAGGTTTCATAACACAAAAAGCCTTTAGCTGACTCCTGAGAATCGATTCTAGGGTGTCCACATACTTTTGGTACGCACTGTATTAGATCAGCATAGTATACATTCACCCATTACAACCATTATTATAACAATAGCCAATGCGAGGGTGGGTATTCAGTGTCTCTCTTGTAGAATTTCATAGAGTTCTGATCGAAGAAATATTGGATGTCGATTTTGACTTTATGGTGATTCAAGTGAGATTTCTTCTCCAGAAGGTGATTGAGAGAGGAGAGCGGATAGTCGTTCGTTGACGCAGGATTAGTGCTACAAGGCGGAGCTAAGGAAGAACTGACCGCCCGAGAGGTCTCAATTTTTTAGGAATTTTCTTAGCAAGGCGGGCTCGAACGACCTCAGAAAAAGGAAGTAATAGATTTTGTCTTCCTTTGCTTTCAAGTTGAAGGCGTTGCCATCAAGCTGTCAACGATTCTTCCCATCACTGACACTGGTATTAGTTGATGCCGGTCTTCAGCGCAAAGGCCCTCCCGTATTGCGCCAACGACTCAGGAAGTTCGAATTCAGAGGGAGTTGGGTTTTTACTGTCAGAACTCCCGAATCGTTGAGCAAATCTACTGCGGCTCGTGGATTTGTTAGCACATTGCACCCAGTCCACATCACCAATGAGTATTATAGATGGTCATCCGAAGGAACTATAGGAAACCTACAGGAACTTGATGATGTCAGATTGGGTTGAGAACTGATTCGGGACTACAATTTTCCTTCGATCAGAACTCTATGAAAGTCCACAATAGAGGCACTGAATACCCACCCTCGCATTGGTGATATGTTGTTAATAATAATGATGTATACTATGCTGGTATATAGTAGATTTAAAGAAAGAGATTAGATAAGTAACAAAATCGAAAAAAAAACCAAAGGGAGTTTTCAAAATTGATTGGGACCGGACATGTATTTTGCGTGTTTTAAAGGTACATATGTGTGAATATGACAGAGAACCACCGTGTAAGAAAAGTGAAAAGAGGAGGTAGGAATGAAAATTGTTCAAAACAATTTTGTAATGGGTTAAAAGGGACCAGAAAGTTACGGAAACGTTTGCATTTAATAGCATCGGATAAGGCATAGCACTTGATGTCATGGAATATTTTGTATGAAGTGTTTTCAAATAAATTATAACTGTTTTCTTTGAACTCAAAGTGGAAGTACACTTAGTTTTTTAGATGTTTTAGGAGCAAAGTTTGAGATTGAAGTTCAGGTTTTTCCATACGTACGATATGAGTATGTTACATAGATAATTAATAACATAAAACGACTTGTCGAGAAACCGAAAAATCACCCCTTGAAGTCCCTGACACCCCAATGGTGTCAGGCGGTCTGGAAAGGGTCAATGGAAAATGGTTGTTTCAGTGAAAACACACACATCTTCCCACGCAAATAGGATTGTACTCACTTTTAATATTCTTTTTTATCAGTATGGTCGTGTTAATGAAAAGAAAATGAGGAATGAACTGAGCGGATATTTTCGTCAGGTCAAGAAGACCTGCTGCACTAATAATATTGTTGGCCATTCTTCTGGTTCTTGGTTGTGTATTATGGATGGCGTTATGAAATGAAACAAAAAACTTGGGTAGGAAATCCGGCGTGGCGGCAAAAAAAGTTTAAAGGTATGTGTTGGCATACATTAGTATGCCCCAATGTCCGCAATGAGGCTTTATGCAAATGGGAGCGGCATACGCGTAGTTGGCGCGGCTGCGTTGAAGTGTAAGTGACATCTTCACGAGGCGTTAGCTCATTTTAGGGGTCATTCCGCTTTAGGCGCATAAGGGTATATATACCGAATGGACCACATAAATAGATTCGAGTATATGCTCTGACGGGAAAGAAAGGGAAACAGGCGATTTTGAGACGGGCTGACGTGGGAGTGCAGGGTTAGTAAAGTCGGAACAAAGCCATCATCATTGCTTTTCAGAAGGCGCTTTCTGAGCTTGAGTCCCTTTGTTTGCATAGCGGACTTGTTTGGCACATGGAGGAGTCAGATCCAAAAGTTGCGCTAAAAACACGCAGCTGTCGACTGGTCACCAAGAGTCATTGTGCGGAACAAAAAGGTATTCAGGTGCCTTTGTGATGTTGAATGAAAGTTGAATGCGTGACGCATCTAATTAGGGATTGATCAACGTCGATCACTGTAAGCGTTGTGGGGCTGTCGCTTTTATATCCCAAACAATGCAATCCACCTTAATCGCTACGTCAACATTACTTGATGTGCTCCGAAAAGGGGAAGGTTTCGTCCCATGTCAAGCCAGCTTTCTGAAGAACCTTTATGAATTCAGGTTTTATGACAGCCCGCTCGAACAAAGGAACGCGTGACATCTACACTCTTTTATATCTCAATGGGTTCAGGGCGCCTGGCACATAAGCTTTCAGCTTCCGCAATTAAAGTGGTGCATTGAAAAGAGATTCACTTCGAAGGAGGTTTTATCTGAGAATTAAGTCATGGTAGACCATTCAATAAATCGGGACTTATGAACAATGAACCTCGTAGAAAAAACTCAATTCTATGACGAATAGATGCCACCGCAGATCTGTCTGTTATCACATACTTTCAACTATTACTGTGAATAGCTACGTTATTCGTGCCTACGAAGCAGTCTAGGCATCACAAAGAAACATGAAGTTAGACATGAAGTGGGAGAAGCTGTATATCTGGGCGACAAGTTATCAGAAATTGTGAGTGCTGGATGGTCATGGGCCAAAATTATGGTGACAGTGTGACTACGGAAACTTGAAGTGAGACGACATAGATCTCTTCAGTAAACACCAAAGGTCTTCCAGCGGAAAAATCATATTCGTATCTCACCCGGAGTAAACGCTGCCTGAGTGAACCGTCATTGCACCGATTTTAAAACGAAAAGAACAAAAAAAATGCATTGTGTTTTTTGATAAAACAATTTCGAAATCCAGAAGGGCTGTTACGCGTTCAGATTCCCGCCGTACATCTGCCACAAAATGCGGCGGAAGCGATTCCACTTGGTTTTCGATTGCCTTCACTAGCAACTCATTTTAGCTGTTAGACCTATGGTAATGCCACTTTTGCGTGGGGTCCCCGTCCTTTTCTATCGAATGTTTGTCTCTACTCTTCAAATCCGAACGCTTCAACCCAATTCATTCAAACGCGTCGCCTGATACGTGGCCGCTCCAATGCACACTTCTTTCCATGCGTTCGCTTTGTTCCCCGACTACTTTGACCGTCCCCCTAGGGGTTTCGTTAGCTCCTCGTAAGCTTAATTTTCTTGCGTGGAACTGCGTACTTTTTTGTGATCACAACTGGCGTATTGATGTTTGGAAAGAATGCAAAAATTCTTCGAAGGCAATTCCTTTGATCTTACTTCGTAACGACGAATCAGTTGCGAATATAGTTTAAAATTCAGGTTGATTTCGAATACGAATCAACAACGAGAATATTATTACACTTTGTCGGCGGCTCTAGGTTTAAATATTCGAGGGCTCAGCTCGACACGCTGACTCATTGGCTTTTCCCAGAACTTCCAGATGGCCGCCCGAAACTTTCTTGAAGTGCCAAGCTTTTTTCTCCAATAAGAGGTCCTGCTGGGGTGAAGAATAAAAGGAAACATTGGTACATTACCAACCATTTTTTGGGTCTGCCGCCAGTTCGTGTATGGGGCATTTCCCCCCCCGCCCCTCTATCCAAAATTCCTAGTTGGGATTTTAGTATGCGATTGGCCTATGAGGTGAAATGCGGGGCCGCCGATATTTACAGGGATGTCCCAATGTATGGCACAGGCAATTCAAAAATTCCATTCAGCCAAAAACTCGAATATCTTTCACTCCATTGCGACGATTACTTAGCAGGAAGGTGCTTCTTTTGCAATTTGCTTCGAGCTGGTAGGGGGTGGAACTCCTATGGCACCTTAAAGGATGGCGGATGGTACTTTCAGTTGGCGACCTTGTCGACTGCATTTCGCACTGCCGTAGGCAGGTCCCTCAACGTAAGAGAACAACCGCACAATTATTTTTGAATTATTTTGTTCCCACAGAGGGAAGGCTACGCAAAAAGATTATCAGACGATACTAGGAAACAATGCCTACCATGCATAGGACTGCGAGAGGGAGAATGACCGGCCAATCTGCCGCAAGGGTGCCTGAAAAATTCCGATCTTGAATTGACCGGCAACCGACGACGGTCCGTGGAAGAATCCCATAGGAGCTTGAATAAACGAATTCGCTGGCAGGGCAGGTGGTCAGTGAAGAAGTTCATGGTCGTTACTATCATGTGCGGGGAGTGCCATCTCATCTCCGATACCAACAGTGCGGAGGGGTAAGGAATGGACTTCTCAGTCAGCACACCGTTTTTTGAACAAATAGACAATATTCGGTAACAATGATTATCAACTCATGTAGAGGGGAAGATAAGTCACCAATTTTGGTCCGGAATTCCTGGTCGGCCCTGGGAATCCTGCATTGAAGCTTAGCTAAGCGGTTTTGAGCTCGCAGCTTCCCTTCCACGTTGATTAGTTTCACATCCGTGAGAAGTTTAGCGTGCTACCAGCGGGCGTTGAGACGTCCCTGAAGCGTTCACGAGCTGTGATTTGAGTCGAAGGAAATAATATCCAACGATCTTACAACCAGTCCATTATTACGATGATGTAGATATTTGCAGAGTGCAACGTGTTTCAATTCGTGTTGCGTTTATGTGCCATAAACACTTCGTACCATTTCATGGCGCATATTTTGCGAATGCTTGCTCGAATTCGCCGATACATAAACTCGCCTGCAAAAAAGTTGCAAGGCTCAGATCAGGACTTGCCGTGTCGAAAATGATAGAGAGCGGCTGCGATGGTATGGGCAATTTCTGTGGAGGTAACAGGGTCACTTGATGGGTAAAACGATGGAATTCGAAGTCCAACTGATCATGTTGAGCACCAAAACAGGGTTGAAAGGATATGACAAAGAAGGAATTCCCTAAATCAAGCCACGTCAAAAGACCCCCTAGATAACTGAGGGTGGTCAACAAGAACGGCGGACTCTGCGACGGATTGGGATTACCGCTTGTGAGAAGTAGGAGACCCTATAGGTGATTGAGCTCTAGAAGAACACCTCATAACAAGCAGGCTCATAAATTTCGTGAGTAGGGAGGGTCGGATTATCCACCACAGTCGTGAAGTTGTCCCGTTTTCCTCGCCTGGAAGTGCACCGCAAGGCTAGATCAGGGCGCTGAGCCTTGAAAATCCTTCTGCCGATTACGCTCTGTCTCGTTGGCAACATACGCTCTCTCATCCGATGTGCTTTCTTGCCCATCCTCTGTGCCAGTGCCTCATTGCCTTAGCTTAGTCGAATTATGATATCGAGGAAGCACTTAATCCTAGTAGTTTCGATGGCATTTTTTTCCTTTTTTCATCAATGCTGTTCCATTTCACGCTTTCTTTTTACGGCTTGCTTTCATTTACGAAACTACAAGGTAGGCAAAAATTACGGTAACAGGAGGTTGCCGTTGTCAATTTCGATTCTGAGCCGTTACCTGTTCATGAGGAAGAAGAAGGGTCAAAAAAGTGGTCCCGTTTTGCGTTTTCTTGACGGATTTTTTGACCAGGAGTCTTTGATGCCTATTCTATGGAATTATTCTGGTTATTCCTTGTTCCATCTTTGATGTCGTGACATGAAATACATCAACTCCGGAATAGACAATCCTCTACCGCCTCGAGAAACAATTATTACTCTGCTCCGAGCAGCTGTTTGATTGCGTTGCATTGCCAGGGACGGTAGTAAAGTCCCCTAAATAGCCAGTCTATAGCTGGCCAATAGGTCACGTTGATCTCGCCTTCGTCGGCACTCAAAAAGCATGGGGAAAGGGCGGAAATTCACGCTGACCTCCCGCAGAGGGCGAGGTCTATACCACATGTTAAGTGGCGAACGTATTAGGTGGCACCTGCCTAGGCGGCGAACCCGGCAGAGAAAGGGGAAAGTGCGTGGAGATTGCAGAGACGCAGAGGGTCATGTAGAGGGCGACTAAAATGTACCCCTGAGTACATTTTAGTCGCCGTCTATCTGCGTCTCTTCAATCCCCATGCACTTCCCCCTTTCTCTGCACGTCATGCATTGGTCGCATTGAGCGTCCTCCGTCCCTGCCATGCGCAGAGCGCAGGGAAGAAAGGGGTACGTGGAAGGTGTTGAGTGGAGGCAGCAAGAAAGCCACTGGAGCTATCGATAATATTGATAACTTTCTGCCAATAAGGTGATCAGCTGTCCCCCGCAGTGTTCCACTTATTGATCGTGTTATAGCTCCTTCCTTGGTCCCGGGAGCATTTCACTACTGTACAATCATCTAGGCCATGATCCTAGGTTACAAACACGTCGATTGGCGCAGTGGGTTCGTTCCTTGTTGACATTGGATCGCTCGCGGGATCAGTTCTCCATGATACTGGATGTTTTGCAACCCTCATAGGATCCTACCTTGCTTTCTACAATTCTTTCGAAGTAACACAGCAATGCTTTGTGGTGCAGTGGCAAACGTCGCGCTCATGGGCGCTGCACTACATGGTTCAAGTCCATGGCGACGCGACTTTTGCTAGGAATGTAGTGAAGCTCGCCATTCAGAGCGGGGTCATCTGGCTGTCTCGCCTTTCATTATTCACCGCTTACGGCCGTAGTTCACCACCTTTAAAGTCCCAGTCCAGGCAGAGGTTTTTTATAACTCTTCTCTTCGGTCAGAAGTATAGAACCCTAGGGGACAATCACAAATGTGGCGTTCACGTGCACGGAATTCGACCGACAAGAACGCTTTGGGCTTGCAAAGTAAGCTGCTCGAGCTGCAGCGAACGAGCTCTCTTATCAGGCCGTTGTCTGGTGCTCTCTCATCTGATGCGCTCTCTCGCCCCATACTCTCCTCTTCGCGCTTAGTCTCTCGTTCCTTTAGCACAGCCAATTAGGAAGGTGAGTGAGCCCTCAACCTGAGCGTTTTCGACGGATTCTTTTCCTTTTTCTTCACTGCCGGCCCACTTGGCACCGATACATTCACAATTCGTGTGCAAAGCCACACCCACTGGCGATCCTGGCATTCCTTTAACTCCCAATCTATGGCACTTTACTACCGTCCCAGACGATTCGAAACTCTCTGAAACTTTCTACGACCATCATTGCAAAATGAGCTCCAACCAAGGTGATAATAACATTTATTTGGCTTTCAGCGCTTTCGCCTTCCTTCAGAGCCTGGAAAGAGGAAAGCCATTTACGAAACTACCCGTCCATACTACTATTTCAACCTACAAGAATCGCTCAGCAGGGGTAAACTACTAGGGCGACGTCGTGGGACAGAAAAAGACAACTAACCTTTAGAAAAGTCGACCAATGAGGTCCACCTGCCACCCCGAGCTGACAGTAACACTTCTTAAACAGATAAAGCCCCAAGGTCACTTGTATCATAGCTGTGGATGGCTTTTCTCTTTCCAGGCTCTGAAGAAAGCAAAGCGCCAAAACGTGAACCGATTGAACGTTCTTATCAATGGCTGTTTCCTTCAGTCTCGTTATAGCTGTAGACTTCTTTGATGTTTCTGACCTGTAGGAGATGAGACTAAACAAATAATCAGTAGGGAGGTTCTCACAATTTAGAATTTCCGCACTTTAACCTATGAGAGGAAAAAAGTACCCTCCTCGGAAATGTTGGTTGATTAACCTTGAGATACTGGGTTAATAGTTGCGAACTGACGGCAAAAAGTCGCGGCAACTGTCGGCGAGATCGGAAAAATATGTGATGGTGATTAGTCACTCGCGCACCTATTGTAGAACACCAATTAAAAGGTGGTAGAGGCGTCGATTTGCTGGCCCAACAACGACCTTCGGCCCGGATCGTCATGTAACCTCTAAACGGCACGTGAGAGGTTAAACGCTCTCCTCAGACGGCTCAAGTGTAGCGTTGAGGTCGACAGTGTTCATCATCTGTCTCCATTAGGAAGTGTCTCAAAGTTTCCTGCCAAGCACCAGACAGTATTGTCAGACATACCGTACTACTGTACTTATGTAATTGTTTTCTTACGGTAAGCCCGCAAAAGTTTGAAATTGTGTCAACTTTTCACCTCTTCCTCTGCTTCGCTTTTCGTGATAAACATCGGTTTTCAGTTGCTCCCTAAATTAGGACACTAGACCCATAAAACCAGGTCAACTCGCTGTTCGGAAAATGTGTATGTTAGCTATATTTATGTTATAACTGTAAATTAGAGGTTTTATTTGGGGTTTGGTGGTGTCTTGGGAATCGAAGGGGTAGTGTTCCAAGGGAGGGATCGTTTTTTTGACCATCGAAGTGGCCTGAAATAAAACAAAATGCAACGAAATGGGACAGGAATGTGTAGAATCTGCTTTCAGGAGGTGTGTATACTCTTGCCCTGCTCGATTGTGGTTTGTGGCTTTGAGAGGAATTGGTGGAAAGAGCTAAAGCACTTCATGGGGTGCCAGAATCGCGAATACTATAGGATCAGC